GTTTAGTGGGATTTCTGGTAGTATATAAAAGAATTTCAAAAATATTAATGTAAAGCTTTATTAAATTTTATAATAAAACCACTGTGTACATTTGAGAGAAGTTTATCAAAAAGTTAAGTGCACCACGTACATATGAAGGCCACAGTCCTCTTTCGATGTATAGAAGTTATCTGACCGTTTTGGTCGTGTTATCAGAACGACCTAGTTGGACGCACCTTGTCCTAGGTCCTCTTATATATTAATTATGATGCTATGCTAAATTGGCATAAGTGAGTCTTACTATTTTCAGCATCTAAAATTGTCCTAATTTAATAAGTTATGCATCTTTTTTTTGCCAGAAGACTATTGTCAAATAAAACAATAGTATAATGTTTGACTTTTGTTTTATAATGAGTATAAATATAAATATACTATATTTAATCTCGTCACAATATATTCCAGCTCAATAATAAATACATGCTTTGTAAATGGATTCAATAGGCTTATTTGAGGGAATATTTATCACATCAATTTAAATTTTAATACTGCTGATGCTCACTTTATCATGGCTTTTAGGAATCTGAAATATAATTTAATAATATCTGTTGACGAATTTCCTCACAGTGGCTTGTAGGGGAGGCTTGGTTTGTCCTCAAAATTCATTCTACAATCCTCATCTTGAGTCTTTAGTAGCCCCGATCTCTGACAGTAGACCAAAGAAATAATCCCACAGTTTGGACTTAGGCAGCATAAGAAAAGTCTTTATTTATCTTTTAAACCAATTCGTTGCTTCAGCACATCATTTATCAGTTTGTATAAGTACTACATTTCTTTGCCTTCTAGTTTAATAAGTTAAGTGTTTACTTTGACTAGTTTAAATTGCGGATCGCGATGTAATCAGAATTGCGCTTAATCCCAGATGTACACGGTTTTTTTTAATTTTAGTTTTTATAACAAGCATAAAAAGTATTATTTCTTTTTTAGCTTGATCAATTAAAGAACTCATAGCAATTATGGGCATATATATATATATATATATTTATATATTTATATTTATATGCCCATAATTGAGATGAGTTCTTTAATTGATTAAGATATTTTATTTTTTGGTAGGTATCTGACGCTCATTAACTACGCAGTATTACTTAGCAACCAATCATCTGGAATTTACGCTCAAACTCTTGGGAAGCCTTCGATTTAGTTACCTTTAAGATCTAGGCCAAAACTTTATGAAACTGTCTTAATCCAGATAATTCTTCAACTTAGTTATTCGAATACATGGTCATTCATACGGGAGTTAGTTATTTTAGGCAAATATCAGAGGCCGATTTTATAACCCGTATGCGACTACGGCGTTTTGTCTAAAAGTTTTTACGTTTTCGCTCTTAATGGACGATGAATATTATGCCGCGCGAGCGTAAAATGGCGACGCTTCGAAAGTAAGTATCATTGGAGATCCCACGACTATCCGTCGTGTCCTTGCTTAATCGATTCTAGTCTGTTATAAAAATGGTTCTAGCCTATATTTTCAGTTATTCTTTGCAAGTTGTGAAATTTTAACTTTTATTTGTTCCACTGTGATTCAAATAAGGTAAGATATCTCATTTCTTGTATGACCTTCAGGAAATTTAACTTTTACACCTTTTTTCTAGAACGTTTCTGGTGATAGAATTGCTCCAGGGAAATCTCCTTGTAATAATAAAACTTGAGTGTTTATGATATAAAATAATTAATACAGCTTTCTGGCTGTAAATTTTTTTGTCATGAGGTCTTCATCTTAAATATGTGATTATGAAATGAAAAAATTATTTTTAAAGGTCCTAGATATGCATAGTAAACTCATTTAATAAGTATCCATTATTATTCTGTATGTCCCTTTTCGAGAGCTCACATTTAGGATGAGCGATACCGGAAAGAAAATATCCGATTAATCGAAGGTATGAAGATCAAGATGGTGTGGACTTTTGTCTGATCGTACTATCCTTTCGTTGTATAAAAGTTATTTGACCTTGTTTTCGAAAGTTGGTTATATTGGTAATAATACTTAGAGGAAGGCACCAAATCCTGAGTCCATTGTATGCACGGTAATATCCAGTCGGACCGTGGACGTGGTACATTCTAAGACGTTTCTTCGATGTCGTCACTGAGCCTCTCTTAGCACCATACTACAACTCGTCAAAGAGACAAGTGAAGATGATCCCTTGACCAATTGTCTGCTAAACAATCATGATATCTCTCCTTCCCTTTGGGCTAATCACCAATCTTATATCTTCATATTACGCCTTCACTATCACAATGTTTTTACTTGCTTATTTAAATGTGGTATCGTATGCACTTTTGAGCGGCTTTCATGAGAACTCTCCACAATCCCATTTCCCTTCATTCTTGTGCTGGGAATATTTATCAAAGTCTGCCCTGTTGTTACGCAGTCCTCCGCTAGGTCTTATCAGAGTCCTCCGCTTGCTCATTAGGATCCATCTGCTTGGTGTGACTAGGTTCAATGTTGATCCACAATATTTGTGGGCTGGTGCACAAGAGACTAGGGCATTAAAAGTCATAGACTTGATATTACGAATAGGAGCAGGATAGGCCCGACAGAGACTAAAGCTATCTGGCTGACAGTAGATCTATTTTAGCATTGACATTGTCCATGAAGCAAAGGCTTGACCATTATAATTACTCGGGGTCTTTAGCCTCAAAAGACAGAATTTAGTAAATAATGCCTCGAGTAGCACGAATGGGGTGCCAAGGGTCGAGTGAAATACTAGAACCAGGGAGATAGCAGACGGATCCTACGAGACAAGAGGGAGTCTGATACGATCTAGGGAAGGAGAACTGCGTAACAATAGGTCATAATGATCAACATTCCTAGCACAAGGGTGAAGGGGGTGAGAAAGCCAGCGTAGAGTGAGCAGAGTTTTCATGAAAGCCGCTCAAAATGGCACATCACACTACATTTAAATAAGCCAGCGAAACCATTGTGATAGTTAAGGCGTGATACGGGATATAGGATTGGTGATTAGCCCAGGGCGGAATGAGAGAAACCACTATTATTTATCGTATTCAAGTAGAGTTTCGAGACTACTAATAATTCAGTAATATGAGATATATTCACCCTATTTCGTTTAAGGTGATGAAGGACTGGTAGTAGAATTTTCCCACAATGATATGAGTAAAGCTAACGTTTCCATTGAATTTCACATTGCCTTGCCTTCCTGGTTCTTCATCACCTTAAACGAAATAGGGTTAATATCTCTCATATTACTGATTTACTGGTAGTCTCGAAACTCTACGTAGTCGATTGTTATAGCAATTATTCGTTTGGTTCATCGACAATCCCATAAAAGAATATGATATGGCTTAAGTCCTGGCCTTCCTTGAAATTCACATTTTTTCTCTGACCCAAGAGCACTCGTGGCAACGTGGCCGTGTCAAGCTCCCATTCTGCACTGTCACGGTTCGACTCCCGTTGGGGGTGTTTTGTCGGACCGATGCGAGGTCGAAACTGCAGTCCACCCTTGACGAGAACTACTTATTGGAAAGCAAGGCTATGTGAAATTTAATGGAAACGTCAGCTGTATTAATATTATTCTACTACCAGTCCTTTATCACCTTAAACGAAATAGGGTGAATAAATCTCATATCACGATTTTTTAGCAGACAACTGGTCAAAGGATCGTCTTCACTTGTCTCTTTTACGAGTTTTAGTCTGGTGCTTAGGCTGACAATGCTCACTGACGATTCTGGTGAAACGTCTGGGAATGTGCCACGTCCATGATCCGACTTAGGAAATTATCATGCATACAAATGACTGTGGACTAGGTGCGTTCCTCTAAGTCATCCTACCACTATTTCCAAGTTGCAAAAACAAGATCAAAATATCCTATTGATTATTAAATTACTTTTGATCCTTATTGCTTGTCAGTATTGACCTTACCTAGTTTTTCACTAACTGAAGCTACGCCTACTTTTCAATTTCTTAATTGCTGATGGATTTTTGGTTAAACATTGACCTTCGGGATTTTTATCGACAAGATAACTTAGCATATTACCGAAACTATTTATTTTATTTTAGTTAGTAACGCTGTAAAGATGCGATCTAGGTTCTATATTACTCATTTCCTATCACTAGATATATCAGCACCTGGCAATCCGCGTGAACTGCTTTCTTGGACAAGCTGGCATGGGATTATGTCACAGAGCGATTCTAGCTGGTGAGACGTTGACAGCACGTAGAACACTTGCACGTCTAGATCAAGAAACTCGCTCTTTTACTAAATATCTTCGAAACCTGCAACCTCAACAAGCCTGTTGCATTCATAATTTGTTTGCTGTTAGTCCAATTGGCACGAAATCTTCTGATGACCCTGGAGCAGTTAGCATGGTTGGTGAATGTTGCGATAATTTAAGCAGCATCACTGCCTTAGCGCTGCAGAGTCTTCGTGATCTTGGATCAGCGTTTCTGGCGGCTAGACTTGACAGAGAGGCTAGTCACCTGCAAATAGCGACTGGCCGGTTGATCAGAGAACTAGAAGTTGCTAGAAAGGTACGTTACGCCATCCTTATTTTTATGTCATTTTTCCTATACAAATGGGTACTCCTTATAGTCCTATAACATAGTTTACTATGATAGATAGTACGTTTCATTCTCTTTTTAGTATAAAGCCTCAAGTAAGCTTGGGGAAAGAAAAATCTCACATGAATAATTTATACTTTAGACCTAACTTGGAAGGACGTGATCTGGCTACTTTGTCGCAACTTGGTCGTATTGTCAAGGTTCGATGCTTCTTGTACTCACTTCTCTGCCATAATAGTCCTGATGATTTCTAGCTTTTGAGCATGTGCTTATTTCATTCCTACTCGTTTAACCAGCATCGTCAACTGTCCTTTTCTCCCTTATTTCCAATCTGCAACCCTACAATTGACTCACAGCACATTTGTTTCGTCATGATTATGATCCTTGAAGTGGATGCCTTACCACGAGAGCCACCTAATGTTCAGGCCAAACTAGGTTAATGAGAAATACAGTCTTAATCTATAATTCAGCTTGAGTTTCTATGAGGTCTATCTTATTAGGCTACATTATACA